GTGACAATGAAATGTCACAGGTCGGCTCAGTAGATCGGGAGGTGAACGAACACATACCGGGTTCGCTCACCTCTCGATCCTGTCACGGCTCTCTGCCGTGACAGGGGGAGGGGCTGGATTCCCCTCTCCCCGCTCCGATCTGCCAGCGCTGACTGGCGGAACGGACGGGGGAGGGGCGGGTACAGCTGGCTTTGCCTCTAGATAGGCAGAGCCACCTGTCACTCACGCAGATGGGCGGATCCCGACGTCCATGTCGGGATCCGCTCCGGCTGCGGCGTCTCAGTATACTGAGCTTAGGGTAACGGGAGGACGCTAGTTTGTGTCCTCCCGTTACCCTAAGGAGAACTATGGGGAAAAACACTGACCCCATAGTTCTCCTTTAATGAACAGCTATTGAAGTAAACTTGAAGAGCAAGAGAGATCAGATGACACATGTGGTCTCACAAAGGAGGGATATATCCCCTTCATTAAGACAGGCCGACCCTCTCTGTTAATTTAAATATACATGGAGTGCTTCTAAAACATGCTGGCAGTGCTGGGCTTTATGAGAAAGCTCAGCGTTCTTCACAAACTGAGTGTCATGGATACACCCTTTATCTGATGTTAACTAGTAAAATACAGATTTAGATAAACAATAAAAATGATACCACAAGTCAGTTTATAAATGTGCAAACTCACACAATGTAAAATAAAAATAAATCAAAAACCATCAGAATTTCCCTTTAACATGCCCATACATGTCTGGTAGTTTTTATGATATAGACAATTGTAACCATTATAGATGATGGTCAATGTACAGTATATGTGTGTATTATATTGGGCTCTCTAGGTAGTTTGTTTCCTGACTATCACACTAGGACAATGAATAGAATTATACACTGGAATTTATTTAAGTACTTCTGTTTAATGAGATAATAGGTGAATAAAATGACCAATTCTCACTCTCCAGTATATAGGTCTATTGCTTTAAAAACATGAACATTGGTCATTGTAATTAAAAAATCCCTATTTTTAAGAATGTTTCTTTCATTTGTTATTATCTAGTTATATTTTTTGCTCTTTAAAGATCTCTAGGTAGAGAAAAAACGTTTTCTTGCAGTGGATACCGCCACACTGCAAGGGTTAAGTCCTCATTTTAACTAGGAGGCTCAAATAAATCTGTATTAGTCACCTGATCCTCGATCCTCCAGCGGTGAGCAGTCACCTCTCTCCTCCTCCATTACGGCAATGTTCTGTCCCTCATCGTCCTCATGTCTAATGCAGGTCAGTGGACTTGCATAAGACGTGATGTCAACAGTGGTCCTTAGACTTCAGGAGCCCAGGGGAGAAAAGGCTACGTGGACTTGGCTAGCAGCCCAGAGAGAGCTGGCGGGACCAAGAATCAGGTGAGTAATACAGTTTTGTTTGAGCCCCCCTCACAAAATGAGCGCTTAACCCTTGCAGTGCGAGGATAGCCCCACTACAATAGTAAGTTGTTTTTTTGCCCAGAGTTCTTTCTTAGGTATAAATGCATAACAGTTTTTGGTCCCTGTTATCAGTCCCCTAAGGGCTGCTGAGATTGACCCCTAGTGGGTCCTCCATAGGGATCTATGGAGAATGCAGTCCAGAGAGGGGAAACAGGAAGTTCAGTTGGAGACTCTGTCACTGTCCTGTCTAATGCTTCCTCCATTGGGATCTATGGAGAATGCACTACATCTAGGGCAGTGGTTCTCGACCCTCGGGGGTCGAATGACGATTTGCCAGTGGTCGCCTAGTGGTTCTCGGCCGTGCCGCCTGGAGAGAAACACTTTCTCCCGGAAAGGTCGGGACCTTTCTCTGCTCTGTTTTTTTTTTTTAAATCGGGGGCTGCCGTAAGTCAGAAAAAAAAAACCCACCATAGGAATGCATAGCTAGATTCCTATTGGCTATTTCACTTTGCAAAAGCCAATAGCAAACTAGCTATTGCACCCACCCCCTGATGCTACCAATCAGCAGAGGGGGACCTGAAGTTCTCCATTAGGTCCCCTTCTAGTGATTGACAGCAGCAGAGTGCGGGTACAATATGTATGTATTCAAGCACAAAAAATATGTAAAACACACCTCTAGCTCTGCATTCCATTTTCCCGTTTCGCAGCTGCAGAGATCGGGAAATGTCTCAGTTCCTGTGATTGGCACTGCACACTGTCAGCTTCCTGGCAGGCTCGGCACGTGGAGCTGCGAACATGCCCGAGCCCATCCCTATCAGTGACAGTACTGCGGAGTATGTACCTCATACGTTATATAGCCACACACATTAAATCAAATTCTTATAGTTCAAGCTGCAGAGCCCGGTCCTGTCTTTGCCTATAGCAGTGGTTCTCAACCTGTGGGTCGCTGTGCAAGGTGAGAGTCCTCCTGAGCTCTCTCCTAGCACAGCAGTGTCAGTTCTCCCGCCACGCCTCCAGATGTCGCTGCAGCAGCCGCGCCATCCCTAAATTTTACCTTTGGGGGTCACCACAACTTGGCAAATGTTACCAAGGGGTCCCGGCCCTAGAAAGGTTGAGAACCACTGATCTAGGGGAAAAATTGAAGTTCAGCTGATGACATTATTACTGCACTCCTAGTGGTTACTCCATAATAAAATATGGATAATGCCCTTCAGGAAAGGGGAGAGGGACAGGATAGTTAGCATATTGCAATGCTGTGAGTGTCACAGGGTCATGAAGTAAGGGGAAATCTCAATTCTCAATGGACACCCAGCAATAAAATATTTAACGCTTACACACCCTGTCCAAACAAAGCCAAAAATTGGCATCCCGCGTGAAAAAATTCAGAACACTTCTTAGTATTGAAAGTCTGGTTTTATACCAACCAATCAGATTCATTTTACTGACATCAAACACCGGAAATCTACCGTATTTTGCTTGTATGGGCTACTGCAGTTTGCACGTCATTTGCACTGCATTCCTCTTTGCACCGCCATTTGAAATAAACCAACTAGCAAAAGACAAGTGCCACTATGTTGTGTGAATTAGTACAATAACTGTATGTATTAATTCATACCATAACATTTGTATAGTTACAGTTTCTAAGCAGGATGGGTCCAGAGACAAGGAAGCCGTCGCTGGCCCGGTTGAATATCTCCACTGTTCTGCAAGTTACTGCCACCCTGTGATCAATCACAGCTTAACAAAGTGCATCATTAAATAACACAGAACATAATCAATGCTTAGCTGCTGATCTGGAATACATTGATGGTCTGTAAATTCAAATGGTACAAATTAATATTAAAACTTAAATGTCTGGAGACATTTATGGCCAAAAATATGGATGTTTGTTGACTAGCCAGAACCGAGGTAGACTGTGAAAGCACCAAAAGTATGGAGTTGTAGTATGATTGACAGTTTAATACCCTTTTATTGGTTTTAGAATTGAACTGCAGGCAACCAATGACATCTGTCTTTGCCTGTAGGCACTCAACCCAGTAACAGTTTAAAGAGCACTTGTAGGCCAGAGAAAATGATATGCTGTAGTGGGGAAACTGGAAGACATGCAAAAGTTTTAAGTTTTTTTAGAAGGCTGATACTAAATGTATCTACGTAGACAACGTGCCCCACCTTCATATAATTTCCTGATTACACCTGGATTGCCTAAATCTGGGGCACTCCCACACCCAAATAAACCCTGACTTTTGCATATAAAAGGTATGTGATAGTCATCCCTGTCCAGCTCCTACAACTTCTTATTGGTCAATTAGCGGGGTGCTGAAGAGGCAATGGGATCTTATGGTAGGCACCTCCCAATGCTAGTGCTGATGTTGTGCAAATGCTGCCCCTTCTGCTCTACTCATTGCCCTATTGTGGTCACCCATCACACATTGTACTTAATAGGGAAGTAAGGGTAGCAGGAATGGGCAGCCACCATGTGACCATTGCGGTTCTGGTTGTTTTTTTTTATGCACTATTAAGCAACATGGGTATTTTTGGTCCTATAACTGAGAAATGTTTGCAGTAAGAACTTGCTGCTGCTACAGGACCTTGACAGGGTCTATACATTTATATAAAAAAATAATATTATTATTATATTATTACATATAATATTAGTTTAAAGAGAAACACCAGGAATGTAAAAGATTTCCCCACTGCAAGAGTTACCTACTCATTTTGGTCTAGGGGCGCAAATAAAACTGTATTACTCACTGGTCCTATGTTTTGCCGGTTCCCTAAGGGCTGCTAGACTAGTCCCTGTAGCCTTATCTCGTCTTGGCTCCAGAGGTCTAAGGACTGCTGATGTCATCATGTCTTATGCAAGTCCATTGACCTGCATTAGGCGTGAGGATGTTGAGAGACATACCATAGCCATAATGGAGGGAGAGAGAGGTGAGCGATAACCACCAGAGGACTGAGAATCAGGTGACTAATACAGCCTTATTTGAGCCCCATAGTTGAATCGTGCACTTAACCCTTGCAGTGCGGAGGTAGTCCCACTGCAAGGGTGTTTTTTTCTCACCTGATCCTCGATCCTGCCTGGGTGCTAGACCGATTCCTGCAGTGTCTTCTTCCCCAGGCTCTGGCGGTCTAAGCCCCTCTTACATCATCATGTCTTATGCATTCTATCCACCTGCATTAGACATGAGGACTCCGAGAGACATACCATACCAAGCCAAAGTGGAGGAGGAGAGAGGTGAGCACTCACTGCTGCAGGACTAAGGATCAGTATATCTTATATATTAGGGCCCTTAGACCTAAACAACAAGTTAACCCTTGCAGTGCAGAGGTAGCCCGACAGCTAGGGTTAACTTTGTACATTCCTGGAGTTCTTCTTTAAAGCTGTTAGACAGTTTTACTGACCAATTGTGAGTTGAGAAAGTGGGAATATCCATGACAGTGCTTGACTTTATTGACTTAAAATTGAGATTTGCACATTAGAATGCCTGAACATTTGCTGAAGCAAAATATATACCAAATAATCATTGAAAAGGCTATATATTCCCTAAATGAGGTTAAAACTATTCTCTTTGTCTCTCTTTCTCTTTTCTGCAGTCCTGGCATTACTTAAGAGTAATGTAGACCCCAACCTGAGTAATGAAGATGGCTTGACTGCTCTACATCAGGTATGTGGAAACATATTTTGTGCAACTGAGACTACACCCCAAACTGCCATTCATAGTAAGGTGGCTCTATCATTAAAATTCACACTTCACTTGAATCAATGGGGCATATGTCAGCATGACCAAACCACATTATAATTTGGTGTAATAAGCAATAAGAAGGAGCTCCTGAGCTCCTTCATTTGAACTAAAGGCAACCTCAACCACATGGTTTCTGATCACCCTGAGCGTTATGGGATGGTTACAGATGGCAGGGGCCTACCGGGTTCCACTGATAACTAAAATATTATTTTATGGACTTGCACTTTAACACATACTGATAAGACTCTTCATGTTAAACTGATCATGTCTATATCTAAAGGACATTTATTAAAGCCCAGCTCAATCCTGCCCCCCAATATTGACATTGACAGATCCTTTTCCTCCTCTTCTTCCTGAAGAAGTAAGCAGGTCCTGCAGCATTCTCCTGTAAGCCCAGGGAGAGGGTTCTTGATGCCCTGGGCACATAGGAAGTCGGTAAAATAACACTTGGCAACATTCAGAGTGGCACTGGGTCACAAAGCAGTGATTCTGCGGGGGACATTTTTCTGGAGTTGGCCTTCAAGACTACCGGTCATCTTTATGAGGAAATCCCTGGTCTTTGGTAGCTGGGTATTTATGTTGTAGTACTTAACTCTTTTGTAACACAAGGGTTAAGTGAAGCCGCTGCCATTTTTAACCACAAGAAAGAACTTCAGAGATTGCACATTCTCAGCACCCTACATAGTTCTGGGTATCAAGGCAGGCATTGTCTGCCACCCACTGCTTGTCCGTCTGCTCTTGTATCCTCGGTCTTAATTATACTGCTCTGTGTTCAATGCTGTTTTTCACATTGGTAGGAAAATAGATGGCCTTTGGGTCACTAGAGCCCGGACTCATGGGGATAAACAGAAGTCAGCATCAAGTTCCCATAATTATTAGAATAATGCCTTTGTCATATTTAAACAGCTAATAGAATATGTATACTTTCTTTATTACTGCTTTGTCTCACTCCCAACTATCAAGTGACCAGTGTAAGAAAAGGTTTCATTCCACCCAAAAGTGATTTTTCTTTTTGTAGAGCCTGCTGGGCTGAGACATACAGTAAAATACAAGATCAGCTCCTAAAGTTGGTCGTACACTGGTCACACTTTGGAAGAGTCGCAACAGCAATTCAACCAGTGTGTGGCTTCATCGATTTTCTAATTGACTTTTCCCATAGGGGCCAATCTAAAAATTCTCAGCCGAACAGTGACTGCAGTCAATCTGCCAGAATACAATAGACTGGCAAGGGGGGATTTCTGGACCCACTGGGCTGCTAGACGGATCCAGGCAGACTCTGCTCTGGAATTTCCCTCTGTGTCCTCACATGTAATACACTGTATTAGACCTGATGACTCACGGGTCATTGAACCACTGGAGCGGAGGGGGAGAGAGGCTGCTGGGACCGGTCTGGCAGCCAGGCGGGTCCAAGGATGAGGTGAGTATATCTTTTTTTATTTTAGACCCAAAACCAAAAGGAGAACTTAACCCTTGCAGAGTAGAGGTTGCCCCACTGCACGGGTTAATTTGTCACTTTCCTGGAGTTGTTCTTTAACTAATCTACCAATGACAGGTTGACAGCGATCCAAGGCTCCTCTAGACATCATCACACACACAATGTACTCGGTACATCTGCTCAGTAGCAATGTGTTCTTAGAAAACCTGTCTAATTCAGGATTGTGAATTGAAGCGGCACACTCTGTTTAATTGTCCAGATACATCTTTATTCAATGTAGGGTTGATGGGATGCATTTTGGGGGCTCATACAAATACCCCCTTCATCGGGGCTGCCAAATCAGCTCCTGAAGGTCTCTATGCATTTTCACACACTGGACAAACCAGTGTCCAGTGTAATGCCATCACAGTCCTAATACATGTTCTACCTTAGTAAGCCCTAAGAAAGGGGGAATTTGTCTGAGCCCCTCGAAATGTATTGTTTATTGCTATATTGTCCCCTCAACCCTACATTAAATAAAGATGTATCTGGATTATTAAAGAGTGAGGCTCTTCAATTTACAATCCTGCAATATGACACTACAAATCAAGGAACAGTTGGAATCCTCTTGAATGTAGTAGCTTCCTGTCCGGTAGTCAGCTCACCGGCACTGACTCTTTCACATCCTAATTGGCCAGCCACACCAAAAGAACAAACCTTGTGGGTCCAGCATTTTTATTTCACTTCTTTCCAGTACTAGAAACTCTGTCTAGACATTGCCAGTAGTACACGATCTTGCTTAATTTGTACTGAACATGTGCTAAATAGTTTTACTTCCTTTAATGCATGTGAAAATGATTCCAATAACAGCCCAAGGCAATTCACCTTTGCTTTCAGAGCTACCACTAGTACAAGCTGGAATAGGATAATAAGTAATTTATCCTAGAGGTTGTGCGCTTAGTATCCATTAGGCAACGTTTTGCTTTGAACACCTAATGCATTCCATGTATTTAAAGAGTTTATTTATATGCATACCCTGTGACTTGTTTGTGACATAAGTTTACATAACAACCATATAACCTAAAGCAGAACTATACGTGCACATCATACTTGCACATTACGGCACACTTTTCTACTATAGCAGTGATGGTCAACCTTTTAGAGTCCGAGTGCCCAAACTGGTAAGATCTCATACTCGTTACGTCACATCTGGTGACTTGCCAGTAGATTTATACGAGTTGGTGCTAGTGCGCCAGCCGTTGCAGTTTCAGAATCCTCATCGAGTTCTCCAATTCCCGTCAGTGCTCCTGTGCGGCATCACAATCCTCGTCATTGCAAAGCAAAGGCAGCCAATCGGAGAGCATCTTCTGCTAACAGATTTCATGTTATGCCATCGGGTGGGCACGCAGATGCAGTAACGCCAATTGAAGAACTTGACACTGCTCTTGGATAGCCGCATAGGCGCACTGACGGGAGTTGGAGAACTCGATGAGCATTGTGAAGCCACACAGTTGCACTGACAGGAATTGGAGAACTCCACGAGGATTTTGTCACTGCCATGGCTGGCGCACACGCACTAGCACCATCTCATCAAAATCTCCTACTGGTAAGTCCCCCGACGTGACAAGTTGGAGATCTCAACGAGTTGGCCATTTAGATAGAACACCAGGACGGTTGGTCCTATTCACAGGGGCGGGCCTGGAGTGGGAGCTCCAGGCTCTCCTATGTTATTCCGGACCTGGGCTCGTGTGCCAGCAGAGAGGGCACGCATGCTATAGGTTTGCCGCCGCTGTACTAGAGTGTCCTCTACTAGTGCTGGGAGGGCACTGTCACGGCTCCTTTCACCGGCCACGGCCATCTTCTCTGTGTTGCTTCTCTTCATTCATTGAGCAGGCATGGATGATTTAAAACATTTGCATGCATACACTGTCTCCTGAACCCAGCTCCATTTTCAGCATGTGACAGTTGAGTGTAGACTGGACTGCGTAGTTTACATGCAAAATTAAGAATTTCTGTATGAAAGAGAATTTTTTTTGGCCAGAAGAGATTTTGCAGATCTTTGTTTCAAATAACTACATCCTAGCGCACTTTTATTTCATGAATTTAGTTTCTCTGTAAAAAGGACCAGAACTCTAAAAGCACAAGTAGATGAAAAATAATTAGTCACCAGTAATGACTTTGGTCTCCCCCCAGCTGATCTTTTTCCCATTACTAACTTACCATTGCCTTGTTCCACACTGTGTCTTTGTGTGGAGCGGGCTATCTTGGTAGAAGTGCAGAGCTTTGCTTCAACATGTCAGAGTTGACCCCTGATGACTACTGTGAAATTAGTATATAGCATCAAAAGAGGAGCAAAAAGCACATATCCACAGAATGAATAAAGCAGAAGCAGGGAGATCCTTGCACTACAGGCCCCCATGTGCAGCTTCCACTCCAACAAGCCCTCAAGATAATAGTGAGCAGCACAGTAATGACATCACCATTACCTTAAGTGACCTCACAATGCAAATATACAGCTATGAGGCTGAAGGCACATAGATGCCTACAAGACAAAAAAGTGCACTGGTATTTTACCATACATTACAGCTAAGTGCACATATTTGTTTATGATATAAGCAGGATGAGGAGAAGCTGACTTCAGGGTTCTCCAATGGGAGTTTGAGAAAGGAAATTGTAAATAAAAACCCTTAATGGGCCAAAATGCTACTGCGGGGTGCCATAGTTTGCAGGATACTAGCATGGAAAAAAAAAAAAGTTGTATAGGTGATTGACTTGTTTCCCCTTCTGATGACTATGGTTGCCTTTAAGTATTTGGATCGTTTGAAAAATTCCCATTAGTGGTTTGTGAATGTTGTCTGTACACCAACTTCTCTGTGTTTTGTGTGTCATGTGACCTGCCCATGAAGCTGCCCTAACACCTCTTTCTCCTTACTGTTGTGTCTGTACAGTGCCCTGAAATACCTACTGGTAGTGTGATGCTCTTGCATCTGACTATATTTAATATTCTGCAAATGCTGCCCATTTTCAGTCACTGTCTTTCCTGCATCACATCATCTGTACTGTCACTCTGTCCCCTCAGTGCTGCATTGATAACTATGAAGATCTTCTCAAGTTGCTGTTATCACATGGTGCTAATATTAATGTCACAGACAATGAGCTTTGGACTCCTCTGCATGCGGCGGCCACGTGTGGTCATACCAACCTGGTGCGGCTACTAATTCAGCAGTAAGTATGTTGTTCTATATTGTACTGCAATTTTTCTTGATTCTGCCCATCCCCAAAAGGGGAGGAATGGAATAGGGGCAGGGGGGCATTTGCTCACTCGACCAGTACTAATAAAATATGTTGGGTTAATATTTGATATAGTTATTCCAGATTTTAAAATTCCTTCTAGAGCAGCCATGTCACAGACTCACCAGGTAGAGGAGTTCTTTATCGGGCCATAGAGAACGCGCCTGCATCTACACATTAAAGGCGGCACCACATGTAGCTCTCAACTTTGACCACGGCACCAGGCAGCGATTGGCAGGTGGTGGGTGTGCACGCTCATCTGCACGGCTCTGGCATTATTTTATTGTACTTGGTATCCTTTATATTAAACTTTAAGGTTTACAACGTTGCAACATTTTAGTGACTGGGTCCACTTGTGTTCCTAATGTTTCATTGTAATTATTTGTCTCTTTCAGTGGGGCAGATCTGCTGGCAGTAAATGCAGATGGCAATATGGTGTATGATCTGTGCGAAGACGAAGCTACACTGAACATCATTGAGAATTTCATGACTTATAAAGGTGAACAGAGAGAAAGTTCCTACACCTTTTCTTCCTCTTTTGTCGCTGAAAGTCCTGTACACTTCCATAGAAACGTGATTTGCATTAAACAGTGACTACCAAACAGTGACTACCAAACATAAATGCATCTCATATTCACCAGTGACGTTCCTCATATTAAAGGAGAACTATGAGGTGAGTGTTTTTCACTCACCTCATAGTTCTAGCCGACCTGTGACAATGAGACTGTCACACGTCGGCTCAGTAGATCGGGAGGTGAGCGAACACATACCGGCTTTCGCTCACCTCTCGATCCTGTCACAGCTCTCTGCCGTGACAGGGGAGGGGCTGGATTTCCCCCTCCCCGCACTGATCTGCCAGCGCTGACTGGCGGATCGGACGGGGGAGGGGGCGGGTACAGCTGGCCAGCTGTCAGTCACGCAGCTGGGGGGATCCCGGCACTATTGTTGGGATCCGCTTCAGCTGCGGCGTCTCAGTATACCGCGAGCAGTTTTTTTGTGGCGTCTCAGTATACCGCGAGCTGCAGGTTGCGGTATACTGAGCCTAGGGTGACAGGAGGACGCTAGTTTGTGTCCTCCCGTTACCCTAAGGAGAACTATGGGGAAAAGCCTTAACCCCATAGTTCTCCTTTAACAGTATCAGATGTGTTTGGTAGGCTGGGCCTATGGAATGTAATGTATTGCAATTTACCAGCCCTTAGATATGGTGGCCACATTTTCTTCAGGTGTATTTTCCAGTTTTTCTACCTGGTGCTCTGGCCCATAACACATGTCCTGTCCTAGAGTGACAAATCTCACTCACTGTACTGTGTCTATGGAGGTGCAGCATTGTCACTCCAGGCTGCTCTCCTGATTTGGACTATAAACCTCTCCTCATCACCATTACCTAGGAAGGAGCTGTATTGTAGTTCTCAGAATATAGTTGGAAAAACTAATGCTATTAGATATCTGTTCAGTACACTGGAAGTTAGAAGGGCATTGGATTTCTATCAGGGTCAACAGATATTATGCTGTACTTGTAGATTGTACTTAGCCTAAAAAAAGAAAGTTCATGCAGCCACCACATCTGGTAAGCTGTAATATATTGCATTTTTGTTCTTAGGTTTAGGTGTACTTTAGGAAAATAGAAATAATGAGCAGCTGAAATGCTTAAGACTTTTCAAAGTGCCTTATAAAATCTAAGACCAATAATGCAGTCTTCCCCATTCCACATGAGGTCGGGGCACAAACAATAACCTGTACTGAGAGTAATATGGAGGCTGCTATGGCTGACCTCCAACTGAAAATGCTAGGTGCCTGCAATCTTGGTCTTAAATTGAAGCTGTACCTCATTTTAAACTCCTCAAAATGATGCCTAAGAGAAGATGCCACAACATGCCTGCTATTACCTTATTTAGCCAGAAAAGCTTCTCCTTTTCCACCTCTTTGATTTCATTTTACCTAGCTTTGCATAATTTTTCCAGCTCAATGATTAATTTAGAAAGTATTGAAGACTTTGGATCAGGATGACCGCCAATCCAATAGCATTTTAAAGGCGAGTTCAGCATTTACAGCTTACCTTTTTTTTCAGTACAGGTTTTCTTGAAATACCTCAGATTACACACATGCTTGTGAATGAATGGTATCATTAGCTTTTAAAAACAATAGTAGGCTGCATGTTAGCTTTGCTGGCTCTTTGACCATAATGTATATGACAACATACCACATTCCCTTTACTGATCCATTTTCTTTTCTTAGGCGTCACACAAGAAATGGTTAACGAAGCTCGTCAGGCTCCGGAGCGTTACATGCTAAGTGACATCAGAGCACTGGTAGGAGCCGGACAGGACCTGAACAGATCAGACATCCAAGGGGCCACTCTGGTGAGCTAGGTCATGTCTGGAAGTAGTACCCCTATCTGCCACAAGGGGAGCACTCAGCAGCTGTCCTCTTCATCCCACAGTACAGTTCACAGACAGCTTGCAATGAACATAACGTGTTTAAACAATAATCATACCTGATGCATTGCTGCTTTAACTGATGTGCTTGCAAAGTTATTTTCAATTGATTATTCAGTTTTCAGGAACTTTAACAAAGCACAGCGGTTGGGGAAATAATTGATTCAGAATAATCCATTAGATTTCTCTTTTTTTTTTTTTTTATTCTTTATTTATAAACCAACAGCAGAGAAACATCAATAAGAAAGGTTCAATCACCATATATAATCATTAGAATCGACCAAACATAGCAATGATACAATTACAATTGCAAATTAAAATAATGCAATATAACAGGTAATTGGCATAGCTGTGTATAAAAGGGGGCCACCCCCTGCTTGTGAAAAAACGTTGTCCCTTTTTTTGATTTGCCTACAGCAGATCTCTTTTTAATTGCATTTTTTTGGGGTTGTGTCAATAGAATCCGTTTGAGAAGCTTCTGAAATCATTAAAAAATTATTGAATGGTGCACTTGATGGTTAAATACACCACGCAGACACATACAGTATATGTGAAATGTTTTATTTGTAGCTCTGTTCATTCACTTCCTGTCCTGCTGCCTAGCTAGCAGTGTGACACCACTATTTCCTGTTGCAGATTTAGATCTTCCTGTGTTACCCGTCTGCACATTGGACTGTAAATTAACATTCTCCTGTAAACTAACAAGCCCCCCCCCCCTTTTCCCAGTGCCTGACATTACGTTGATTGAAAGCATTGCCCTGTGCAGTAGAGCCTGGTTGACTTGCAGAGCTGTCTACTCTCATTTTAAAACCAGGACAGAAAGTGATCTTTTCATGAAATCTCTGAGGAAAACACATTTTGGGGTATATTTATAAAAATTGGAGCAAAAACTGGAGCAGCTGTGCATGGCAACCAATCAGCTTCTCCCTTCAGTTTGTTCAGTTAAGATTTGAAAATGCAAAAGATAAGCCGATTGGATGCCATGCACAGCTGCTCCAGATTTTGTCTGCTCCAGCTTTGATAAATTCCCCTCATTATATTTGGTAGGAAAGAGTTAAATTCTAGTTATGTTTTTATTGCTGCCTCTACTTTCCTGTCTCAGTAGCAGCCACACAACCCATTTCTACCGGAGTGACAGGAAAATCTTCCCCCTCATTATAAAACATTGGGCCCATTCAGGCTTTGAAAAATAGTGATGTAAAACCTGTGTTCTTCCTCTACAGCTGCATATTGCATCTTCTCGAGGTTATGCAGAGGTAGCAGAGACGCTGCTTGAAAATGGGGCTCGAGTGGATGTGAAGGATCCGGACATGTGGGAACCTCTGCATGCTGCAGCATTTTGGGGCCAGGTGAAAACACATTTTGCTCAGACTGAAAGATTAGCAGAGAATCTGATGTCATTATGCCGGTATAAAGATAGTCTAACTAGGGTACATTAGCATTGCTGCCTAGCAACACAAGGCCATTGGGTTGGATGCTGCTGAATCTTATGTTTGCCTTGGTTTCCTGCAGGTGCTCTACTTTCCTTCTGTAGCCCGAAAAGCATATTGATAGTTGAAGTGGCTTTCATTAAGTTGTTTTGCTATGTGCCTAATTGTTAAGCTAAACAATTAAGGTGCCTACAGACATTATAGAACTTTCACCTGATCTGGCCAGATTGGGGACCATTTGTGTGTTTGTAGGCACCTGGCGGATTCTATTGGATAATAATTAGCTTTTGCTAAGAAAATCCTACTGTCCAGCAAAAGTGATGGTAAGAGTATATCACGTACCTGTTTGGGGACTGGATGCGGGGGGAGGCTTCCCTTGCACCTCGTGTCCTAAGGACTCTGGAAGTGGGGACAGAATCCTGGCAGACAACGAGTGGCATGGGTGCCAGTGGTGTTATCACCGTGCAAGCCGAAGATCTGGTTCTGCAGCAGGGCTGGGGTAACCCGAAGTCCAATGTCGACAGGCCGAGGTTACACCGAGCAGGCAGAGAAGGTACACAAGGAGGAGGCAAAGGCAGTCCAGTAAAACAATCCGTGGTCAAGGGCATAGGCAAGCAAGAATGGTCAAACAATTCGAGGTCAAGGGCAGGCTGCAGGCAAACAAGGTCAAAGTAAATCCGGGTTGAGACAAACAGGCAAGAATCACAGGAACTCAGAACAAGGAACACCAGACGTCCGGCGGTTGAAGAGACATTCCAGCAATGAGGCAGTGTGCAGTCTGAGCTTAAATAGGGCAGATAATAGCTGGAGAGCGTCACTTCCTGTGCGCCATTTAGCGTGCTTTTCCGCGCCCAATCAGTGGCGTGAGCATGCGCGCAAGTGTAGTACGAGAACTGGGATTTGGCGCATGTGCGGAAGCATCTGGTCTCTGACAGAGTAGTTGGGACCAATGCTGGATTGATACTTTCTTCTTCCCCAGGCCTCAGTGACAGTGGTCACCAGAACAAATAGAACGTGAGTCTACCTAGTGGGCCAGTAAAAAAGTAAAAACCTTTTAGCTATACATATATTTAAAGCAAGGTTGCTCATATTTTGGGTGGGTAGTTTCTGTGCAATTCTTTGTAGATCTCCGCACAAAATTATAATTTTTAAAAAATCATCTCTACTGGTAAATCTCCAGATTTAAGGGCATCTACAACTCAAATCGTCTGAACAGTGTAACATTATCATTCCTTGCTGGAAGCAATGCATGGTGAGATATGTAGTCTTGAGAAATGGAGATTGCATTAAAATAAACAGCAGGGAATAGGCGCAAAGCACACTAGGAGTCCAGGAAGTTGGTGAAAGTGAAGGGCAGACGGAAGGCAGCACTACATAAAAGGGATTTTTTCAAGCTTTGAACGCATTATGAAAAACAACTCCAGTATGTATTCCTATTACAATGCTGATGTTATAGCAGGAGAGGATATGCTGGGACTTTACTTTAATGCTTTGTGCCTGTTTCAGATCTATGTGGCAGAGATTTTGGTCTCACATGGAGCTAGTCTGAGCAGCAAGACCTCCTTGGATGAAACTCCTCTTGGTGAGTCTAGGTTTCCATTCTTTTTATTAGGTTTATTTCCTGTCTATGTAAGCATGCCAGTACTGATAAACATTATTAGGACATGTGCCAATGAGCAAATGCAGCTTTCTTTCTTGTCTTCCACTTGCATTTGACATCAGTCTGAGACGCTTATTTATTGACAAGTACATTTGATCTGCATTTGATTTCCTTTGAACCACCTGAGTCCCCTGGCCTCAGACCGTTTTTTTTGTTTTAGTGATGTCTCAGATCCACACATTCATTTAGCATTTGTAGTCTACCCTATGATAGGATAGGGAGGGAGGATAGGGTTTTAGTTTGGTAGCAGATTTGCATACATATATCTTACATAATTACATTATTTGTGCACACTCATATACCCCAAAATATAATGAACAAAGTCCATTGAATAAAATTATATAAGTGCAGCTCTTATGTAAAGTATCAGAATGGTATCAGAGTGCATGTGTTTTACTTTAGGTGAGCTTTATTCCCCTCTTCAATGCTACATTGTGCAGGGAAAAAAAAAACAGTTTGCATAAATTGTTAGGATAGCTTTAAGATAGGATAAAGTAAGGTTGGTGAGGGCACAAATTAGCACAACAGCATTTTTTTAACTGGGTTGCAATTGCTAACAATTTTAATGAAATAGAGTTCACTTAGTTGAGCATTTGATTCTTCCGCAGTAAATGCAAACCTCATTCTCATTTACAGTGTGCTCCTATGGCGTGATCTGTAGAAGGATTGGACGCCCAGGAGCTAACCGTTTCAGCTTCTGGGCATTGCACTGGGTCCCAGATGTCACTAACAGTTGCTGAGTCCAAGTACCATTTTGTAACAGCACTGGTACAAACTGCCGATGTCCCTGTGGCGTTTTAAAACGGCACCCGGGACTCAAGTTGTTAAGCTGCACCACCCTGCTTCAAGCCGCTTTTGTACTCTCATTAGCTTGCAAGGGAAGAAAAGCAGTTCTGATGCGAGCAAAAACGGGTTGACACAGGCTCTTAAAGTTGCAAAGCAAAGAGCCAGGTGCATCATTGCACCAGGACATTAAGAATTATACCTTGTATACCTGATTAGTCATCATTTTAGTTTTCAATATTTAATTTCTGTGTGTTACCACATTTTCCCCACACTTCCTGTTCCTGTGACATCATAACAAGCAATGGGGGTGCTTAACAGGAAAGCCCAGGCAGCAAAAAATCATTCTTAGCAGTGCTAATGCTTTTCCACTCTACTACAAAGTGTCTCCTTTGTCATCCGAATCATTTGTATTCTCTCCCTAGATTTGTGTGAAGATGAGGAGCTGCGTTCTCTGCTGCTGGAGCTGAAGCACAAGCATGACCTCATTATGAAGTCTCAGCAAAAGAACAAGTCCTCTCTGAGCCGCAGGAGCTCCAGCACTGGAAGCCATGGGTCAGTACTGGGGAATATGGTGGCTCAGTGGCACACACACCCTCCAATGCCATGTTGGAAGGCTTCTTGGCTGTAGTGAAAAAACATTATGGTTTTAAATATAAATGGCTATCCTCATCTCCGGGTCAGCAAATGTGCCTAAGACCACTGTTACTTTCTATGGTTCCTTGTGTCGAAAGTGGCAAATTTTAGACTAGCAGTGCAGGGGTAGAGAAAAATCTGAAAAGTTCATGCATGTAAAGGTGCCCTTGTGGCCTTTATGGATCACACAGACTGCTGGGATCTGGGTCAGTTTACTGTTGTGTCCTCAGAGTGTTCTCTGCATAAAGCTGGTCAATGCCCCATTTTTGTCAATTCTGTTGGCACACCCCCACTCGACAAAAGTGGAATTTTCAATCAACTTTTGTCCAAGCAACTGGTCTGAAAATTTCTGGCCAAACGGGTTTTTAGAGGCTGCTGAAAACAATTGCCAGCATGGGAAGGGGAATGGGGTCAGTCATGTAACCATGCTCTCCTCCTCCCCTAATATTTTTCCCCATAATATTAAAGAGTACCTGAGCCCAGACTTTGGACATTAAGGTGTTTAAATATTCTTAACAAACACCAAAACAACTTTTTTTAAAAGCCGTGACCTCTGCAGCTGCTGGCACTGTGGAGAAATTAGTCTTCCAAGTTCATGTTCATATTTTCTTGTTGAAAATATTGGTCATTTCTATGCTGGGTTGGTGCAAAAAGCACCAGTTGCCTTCATCCAATAAAAGCATGACAGCTCTAAATTTACAATTTCAGCCCAGCTACATGCCCTGAAGATTGTATAGCTTAGAATCTTTTTAACATGAGAGAAGCCTGAGCTTTAGTGAGATCCTTCTCCTTCATTTTAAAGCTGTATGAGCGCCTGGCTATGGCCAGATGTTTAGTCTATTGTCTACCACAATCTACAAAGGAAGTCAAGTCTGATACCTGAAGGTCAGAGTGGTTTCGTTAACTCGCAGGTTTCTATTTTTGAATCATTCAACATTTACTCTGTTCAACAAGAAGTGTAGGACAAATATGACAATATCCTGTTATGATAGGAAGCATCTGGTTAACTATTTGCTATAAGGGTATGTGCGTACATGGCTGTGTAAAATTGTGTAGTGGTCTGCACATTGCCTATAAAACCAAAACATTATTGTGATGGGATACCAAGGCCGGCGAAGCAAACTGTGGATCACAATGTGACTTCTCGACTAAATCTTTATAGAATACAGACTTTAATGGGCCATTTATCCATACACATCCCTAATTCCACAGATTTAACTTCTCTTCACATAAGTTACTTTCAACACATTAGCTGGCTAAATACAAAACTATAGATAACACAAATACACATTGGGGGAATTTATCAAAACTGGAGCAGGCAAATCTGGAGTAGATTTGCACTGCAGACAATCAGCTACTCTCTCTCTTTTTCAAATCTTACCTGAGCAAACTGAAGAGAGAAGCTCATAGTTATAGCAAGCTGTTAACCTTTTTAATGCCGGAGGTGTTTCTGCCCACATTTCTTCTTTAAGAGAGACCAAATGGAGAGGCTATGCATAAAAAGCAAGATGTTTAGTCATTACAGTATGTCATTTAGTATGTGGCCAGAGTACCCTCCCCTCTTCCGACTTAACTTTAGCCACCCATGTTTCCAGCAAAGCCCCATCTAGATTAAGAAAAAAAAGAACCAAAAAGGCCCAATATCTTACCTGTATCTGCGGTTATGTGGCATGTTGGATCACAGGTCTTCTTTCTATGGGCACTTCTTCGAGCACTCATGTCCCTCTCTGGTGACATAGTTGTTTCCCATTGGCCAAAAGAAGAGTCCATCGGTCAGGTCCTCACAGGGTCCTGAAGACCCCAGCGGTGTCCTGATGACATCACAAAGAGAGGTGACAACAAGACTGATCGTCAGTGGGTCTGGATCATGGGGCTCCACCAGTGGTAGAGACACCATGGAGGCAACATGATGGTGGAGTAAAAAAATGGGATTAGAAGTTCTTTTTTTCTGGTTGGTAGGTTGGATAGAGATTGCTTTTGCTTAGAGATTGGCTTTCATAAACATACAGTTAGATTCAGGAGAAAATAGGACAACTGTCCCCAACTATCCAGAACCACCTGCATCTGTCCAAAATCTAACTAGTTTTAAGCAGGGCAGCACTGCTTCAATCATGCACCTGCATAAATATAAGTACATATGCAATCAGCTTTGTCTTGTTCTGTGGCTGTCACAATAATGTATCCTTCCCTGTTGATTTTATACATCTTCCAGTGATTTGACAGTTTGGTTGTTTCTCAGAAAGGTTGTCCGGCGTGCCAGCTTATCAGAAAGGACTAATATGTACAGACGGGAATATGAGAAGGAGGCCGTAGTGTGGCAATGTCTTGTATCAGCTGGGGAAACAGACGGAACACAAGAGGAAGAGGAAAGCAGCCCTGACCTACAGAGGGTAAGCAACACTCCTTAAAGCAACACAGTACGCAGCACTGAAATATCTACCATTAATAGGGGTCTTCAGTTCAAATCCAGACAAAGACACTATCTGCATGTTCTCCCTGTTCTTGCTTTCCTCCGGCTACTCTAGTTTCCTCCCACACTCTAAAGACATACTGGTAGATTTACTGGCTTAAATGAGCGTGCCCAAGATGGCTGCCTCACCTCCTAAGCGCTTTAAGTCCCCAGGTCGAAAAAGCGTAATAGAAATAGTAAATTAAATTAAATACTGTAGCCTGAGAAAAAGCTGATACGCAATGCAGATACCTATTGTCTCTCATGTGTCAAGAATGTCATAGTATACATACACCACACTGCACATTACCTTTTAAAGGAATAATTTATATGAGCCAGTCTATATTTAGGAGTGTATATATAAAAGAGCTCTGCGAACATCTACGTTTTAGGTTTGCAGCACGTTATGGCCAGCACCTTCCAAAAAAGGGAATTGTAAAATTGACTTTTGCCCAACCAGGTAATGACGGCAGGGTCACCTGCGGATGGAATTTCGGCCAATTCAGCAGGAAACAGCCGAAATTAAATTAGTGTATGACCAGCTTAAGTTAATAAAAAATGGCTTCGGCCTTAAAGTGTGTAAATCCCGGCAGATCAGTCTGATTGACATGGCAACAGTAAGAAGAATCAAAAAGTGCTGAATCACCATGTGCTTGTTATCACCCCCTAGTTAGTTAACTCCTAGGGGTTCAATAACTACACTTTAACATATTCTTCTTTAAAATCCTCTAGCCATTCTCCTAACCCCCTAAACTAATTTAGCCTAGAATCCAGCCCTGCACTCCCCCGTGCATACTCACCTCTCCGTGGCAGTGGCATCTTCCCGTGTGTTCTCTGGTGCCAGCCGCACCTGTGCAATAGCTTGCCATAGACATAAATGGAGCCATACTCTAACACTAGGGACACGAGAAGTATGGTGCCTTTCAAATCATCTAAAGGCAGTAAGTATGCACTGGGTTGGGGTAGAGTGGATTCTAAGTTAGATTCACTTAGGCTAAGGGAGTTACGCATGTATGCTGGAGGATATTTTAGAGAAGGCATATTTGTCATTGAGCATAAGGCTCTGTTCACACCTAGGCGTATTGAATATGCGCGTTTGTCACGCGTTTCATGACGTGCGTTTTTACCGCGATTCGCGACAAACGCGCGTTTCCGAGGGCTACTTGGCTGTATCCCAATGGAAACGCGCAACAAAAAACGCCGCAAAGAAGCTCATGTACCTTTTCAGGCGTAGGCCGTTTTGTAGCGCGTTCAGACGGGCTGAAATACGGCAAGGTGTGAACCTTACCCATAGAAAACAATGGGATTTTCATGTTTGAGCGTTTTGTAGAGCGTTGAACGCGCTACAAAACGTACAGGTGTGAACCAGGCCTAAGCAGACCTGAATCTACTGTATCACATACAACTCCAGGACCATGTAAATCCACCCTGAGTCATGATAAAAAGCACAGTGGGTGGGTATAATCACAGGTGGGAGAAACAAGCTTGCAGAATAGTGTGTGGGAGTGCAGCTCTGGAACCGTTAAAGCGCCTCTGACAATTACATCTGAAGATCTCATTATGTGGAGTATTATTTGTATGGCTGAGTAATCAGGTCTGTGGGTTCACTGCGGGTGCACTCATGTGTGGGGACTTCATATTCCGTGTGGGACTATGTGGATACAAAATGATGACTTCATCATGTGCATAGTCACTATTGGCCTGCTGTGTGACAGATAGTAGTGGTATCATCATATATGGAATCAGACTGTCCTAACGAGCAATGTGTAGAGCATAGTTGTGCCATTATCCATATGTAGGATATAGGCACAACTAAATAATTTGACAATATATATGTATATATGTTTATTTTGCGCATACAATAAGGCCAATGAAGGTAATAGAGTGTAGTGCATCCATTGGTATGGAATATCAGTTCTATAGGAACTACACCTATATTTGTAAATACTATCAGATCCCAGTATTGCTATCCAATGCCTCTTCAACCCAGCTACCTGGCCTTTTATGAAACTAACTATTGTGGCTCTAATTATCTATTAT